GTTGAATTGTTCATATAGTTGTTTGGCAGATTTGAAGTTTGTATGTGAAAAGATCAGTGCTATCGGTGTTGCCTCGTAGCTCAGCTGGTAGAGCATGCGCGTACAAAGCGTAGGCGGCGTCCATGCGTGGGTTCGAATCCCACCGAGGCTACTGAACTTTTCACAATCGACATACAAACTAAAGCTAATACTCATTGAAGGTATTGCGCAGGCAAAAATCACCATTTTAGCTCACCTTGTTCCGTGACAGTGTCACACCGTTCGAATGCGTGTAGCTTGAAGGTGGACAGAGCCAATAGACACATAGCTGAAAGAAGAAATGAAATAATCGTTCTATTGCACAACATAAAATGACAATACGTACCGTGAAAATCCATCAAACCTAAATGACGCCAATTGTGAATTCCTTGATAACCATTTAAACTCATGTGCTCTATTGCATGCATCGTGTCAGACCAATGATCTGTCTGATTGTTCGCGGAGGCAGTTTCAGTCGAGCGATTTTCCGTGCCCGATAAAATCCAACCGGCTATAGCACTGGTTAAACGACCCAGCTGCACTGTATTCCGGATGCTGGTTGTCAAGCCCGGTCCGTCGATGTCACCAGCGTGTTCCACGATGTGTGCATCCAGTGCATCTAGTTGCGCGGTGGTAATCGGGTGACACAGTTCCCGACAAAAGTAAAGCGGGTCATCGGAATCATTGTGTTCCACGTCCAAACTCGGAGATATCAACGACGGAAAGGCAGAAACTGTGGATATGATCAGCGAAAAAGAAAACAGCTGATTCGTTAGACATGATCATGCAGGCGATTGAGTTATAAATGACACTGTGGGGCATCGATCCACGATTGGGGTCAAATAAATTGAGCGGTTCCCTTTTTTCCGGTCCTTTAGAAAGTTATAACAGAGAAACAACTGTGAAAACACAGCGAACTGGTTCAAGATACCGGTCTAGGTAGCTATTCTCGTTTCATGGTACTTCAGCTCTAACGAACCGCTATCGAATACCTCGCTATTTTATCTGAATAAGATTAATAAGGGCTTCAGAAACGTCACGTGACTGGTTCGCATCAGATGAGATGCGATGTGAAATTAAGGGGGGAATGCTCATCTGGTTGTACTGTCTGAGCCAAATCTGTGAACCTGATTACTTCCGGAGAACAACGAACGCCAGACGGAGTGAGGTCAAGTATACAACGAGTTCAGTGACTTTTCTTCCATCTGGTCATCCACACAGTCCATGTAAATTCCGTTTATGCACCAAACGTAGACTTAATGCTAACTAAATTCAAGTAAAAGAAGTGGCCGTTACACAGATAAACAATAAAACCACGATAGATCTTTGAACATCGGTGTCTTTGTATCACTGTACGAGTGTATGCATATATGGTTTAAGTAAGACAACTGCACTGCACTGTCTGAGATATGTTCAACGAACGTAATGACTACACTTAGCCTATCGTACTTTATTTGAGAATATTGAATCAGAGTGGAAAAATGAGGCTAGAAAGTTATCACGTGATGTGGACGACTGAATAAACTGTGTTCGAGCCTCACTTCCGACGGAGCATCTTGGTTTTTAGGCTGCTGACCCAGATTCATATTCCCATGGGCCGGAGAAATTGCGGGATTATTGTCCGTGGCGTGAAAGCACTTTCTCATATTTACAATTACTTTTATCACACCTGAAAAGAACCAAAAATGTAAAGACTGTGTGCAGCCAGAAAACAAAAGTGTTTTGTCACCCCTAATCTCAACTTCAGTGTCTGCGACTCGTAGTTATGTTAACGACGTGTGTGTGAAGACTGATATCTACTGCGTGCATCTGGCCAGGTTATTGAATTCACTATGAGGAGGTTGGGCAGAGCTCTACGGATTTTATCTCGGTCATTGACGTCGATTTTGACCGTTGGTGAGTGAAATGATTACTATATGTATTGCGCATGTCTACTTGCAGAGCTGCTATGCGGACCGCATTATTTGAGGAAAATAATGATTAAATATGAGGTAAAAATCACCTCTCACTCAAAATGTTAACAAGTAAGAAAACCTCGGCTAGTTGACGGGATCAAAAGGACCCTTTTGGACTGGTGGGGGCTAAAAGGGCAAGCCTAATCCATAACTATACCATTTTAAGATTGATTTGAGAAAATGCCACTTCGAAATGAGAAAGAAACGCTGTGATTGGATCCGCTTCCGTTCAGCGGACCTCATTGGTCTACTTATCACACATTTTTAACCCCGGATTAACCACCAGTCGTCACAAGCTCTTTTTGTGTTGAAAAGAGGCAGACCTCAGTCTTACATTTTGTCGTTTTTTTTTCTTCTAGATGACCTGTCGCGGACAGAAACCAAAACCAAAGCACTAATAATAACGCGCGTTAGATCATAAATGCAAAAAGTCCCTTCTAGCTTCGAATGTGAGATATTAAGAACAGCGGAAGCACCGTTAATATAAAAACTGAATAAAAACACATGGGGTGGGAAGGCCTGAAAACGACTGTGACAGTTACTAATTTCAAAATAAACGTCACGATTCCTCATGTAATCGAATGCAATCCTCAGCTATCACCTTCTAACAAGTGGCCAGATTCAGAATTTCCTTGGTCAAGGAAAGCGAAAAGACTAGAGGCTAGATACCTCCAATAAGCTAATAAACATGGGTAAGATGTATTCAATCATACTGACGGACGGATAACAGGTTCTTTTCTGTGTTAGGAGAAGGTCAGTAGCATCGGTGGGATCAGTGCTGCCGATGTGGACTCGTAGCTTAGCTTATAGAGAAAGCCTGGTACAAAAGCATCACCTGTGTCCACACGTGAGATCGAATCCCATCGAAGCTCCGGATTTTTCCAAAACCCAAATATACTGTGTACAGACAGTTTGGTTGGCTGCTAGCTAGTCAAATGGATAGTGTGATTGTGATTCTGTTAATCAGGTACCGGGTTCGGTTCTTAGATGGATTGACCAACTCGCATTGCCAATGAGACCCAGTAACATAAAAACAACTGCCCAGTAGTTTCTCACTTCGGAATTTACGTTACTCTTGCATTGTATACGAAGGAATTCAGTATATAACGAGGTAAAGGTCTTTGCTACTAACCTGGACGTATACACATGGAAATGCTTTCTGGTTGTTGTGTCATCTTACTCCTGTAACTGAAGCAAGACCCTAGAAGACTACCCTGTGATATGAAACCGGTGTAGTAGGTAGGTTCACCATCGCCCTATCCAATCCCTTGTCTCATAGTGTAAGTTATGAATTCTTATACGCAATTGGTATAGCTGAGCGATAATGAGGTTCGGTCGTCTGGTCAGTACATTGTTGTGTGAAATACAACAGAAAGTTCATATTCCCCGGGGACTGGGAATACACAGAACAACTAAAAACTTACACAGAAACGTCTCCAGTTTCAGTCGAATTAAGGCCTCCAACGCGTATGGATTTCTCGGCATTGATTTCAATACTGATTCGCATAGACCACGCAAATTAGACATGCCGAATGGAAGCTGAAAGTGAAAAAGAAAAATTCACGCTCAGTATCAGATCATCACTATTTTTATCTTCTGAATTGTGAAGTTCACAAAGATTTCGGTAATCTGAAAAAATATGAGCGATTTATACCTGGTATTTGCCAGGGAAAGCGATGCCATAAATCGTTTAAACCGGATAAGAAACATGTCCGTCCAATTATATGTTATCTAAGAATTTCAGTGATGATGAGGAGCCATTTATGTGAGCATAACAAAGAGATAGCTGACTACCCGAATGACTGAACAAATAAATAAATACCAGCTGGGGTTCAACGCGAAAGCCCCATTAAAGTCGGAGTTGGGTGTCTGGGTTTGACTAGTCACGAAGTTCCTACGAGACCAAGACTCACAGACAGCCGTGCTGAGGAAGTATCTATTGCTGTCTGCACGTGGCACAGGTATTTACTCAAAAAATGAGGAAGAAAAACGAACAGCCAACACCCGGTTCTATAGCCGAGTGGGTTAACCACGGCAGTGCACCTAGATTAGTTGGCAAAAACCTGTTTTCAAACTAACAAAGAAGTGGAGTGCGAAATATAGTAACACCTTCCTCGTTCTCACAGTGGTGCCTCGAGGAGTACTGGCCACTTTGGACGTTTAGCCCCGTTCAAAGAGTGTGTGATCTGATGAACTGAACATTGGCCCACGATGGATTCCGGTTTTCACACACTAGCACGCGGCCCTTTGGGTCAGACTTAGACTACTCGAAGGTTCCGGTTGTTAATCCCCCAAGAACACTCATCTGTTCTGTTTGGGGAGTCTGGCAGGAGTCCCTTCCGACGAGCAAATCATGGACTGGTTGCTTTGTGATTAGCATTGTTGTAAGGTGATTTGTTTGGTATACAGTCTGGACTCAGATACGTAAAATATAAGTGTATACGCGCACGAACTGCCGAGAGTGAGGGCTACAAAAACAACCCGTCCATCAAGTCCATTGCACAGGATACCAGCAGTGCTTCGGATCGGGGGGATTCGTTTAGGATAACCACAAATCCGAATGAACGGCTGCTAATATATGAAGAGGTAACGGCGCACCAAAAGCCATTTGTGTATCATCAGGAGGAGGCTTACATCAGCCTGGAACTTCCGTGGTAACCAACCACGTGTTCTTTTGAACTGCCATCATTTGTGAAGCATGCGTTTTGCAATAAGCAACAGTCAAGATGCGGTGAAATGACGTTGGAAGTAAATCGTGTTCGGTCGCAGTCATATGTAATTCATTCAAGTTATCTCGGGAAACACTTGCTTCAAGAATAATTCGTCCTCCGAATTTACTTGGAACAAAGCTAACAACATCAGGGTGGAAGGTTTTTAGATTCAAAATGTATGGAACAGTAAAGGCCATAAGGGAAAAAGGTAGAACCAGATATTTTCGGACACGGACGTTTAGGTTTCAGTTTTCACAACCATGAACCTTGCGTTGCCATGCAACGGTTTTGGCTGCTGCCTTTCGGCTATCCATTTGGTGGCAGCATTATCGTCGTCCGGCCCAACCGAATGTCTCGGTGGCACCAAACGTATACGAAGATAGCAAACACCCACCAAGCTTTTCGAACGCGTTCCATACATTCGGGATCCGTCCGCCAGATTAAATGTGGCTATCTAAGTAACAAAACTTGTCTACTTTTTCCCTTGTTCACGTTCGGTGAACAACACATGGAGTATAATGCCTGTGAGAAGCTTGGAGACGATATTCAATAGACTAATCCCAATGTGGTTTACATAAAAGATGTATCGTCTTTTCGTGTAAGTCAGTACTATGACGGATTCACACTGTCTAGCTGAAGCCTGTTCACTTTTCCATACTGAAATCAGGAACTTCGTTAACTCGAAGACAAAGTCCGAGCCTCCATTCTAGAAAGTCACATGTCGGAGCCACTGTGCCTTTTGAGATAAGTTATTTTCCGCGTAACTTCCACTTCAGAAGGAGGACTGCCGTCAACTGACAATGGTTGTCCACTTGAAGCAGGAGTTAGAAAATCTGATGTCAATGGAGGCCTATTGAATCGCTCATCACTCAAGACGGTGCTGCTGGATATGATCAAGTGTGCAGTCGGACCCTTAAGTACTTCGCTTACGTCCGTGGGCCCACACACCAAATTATATGGAAAAAAATTGCGACTATTGTCTCAATATCTTTTCACACTAATTCTTGCGGGTATTTCTTTGTCGTCGTCTTGGAACCCGGTAGAATGATTCTGCGGGTATCCAATGGAGTAGCCCAGGTTGACGAAATGTATCACCCATAGTTTGGTTGCATGAAGTCGTATGAACTACCTTTTTTATTGCACATCGTTGTGTGATGAACAGACGGGACAGACCCCACAGTCACGATGACCTACCGTTCAGTGACGGAAATCGATAGCCTAAGCCCCGGGACTTGGAGTGATCAACCGCTAGGTTAAGTGTGGCGCTGAGCCGGACGACAGACAAGCTGTCTGCCACCAAAGTTGGGTGGCGGTAACGGGGCTTGAACCTCGAGGTCATAGGATCCAAAGCACGCCAGTGATAGCGACTAAACCACTGGGACACCATCACCAGGCCGTAACATTTTAATCCTTCTGTAGGTGGTTAAATTGAGAATCGGCGAAACAGCGCAGTCCACAGGTCTAAACAACTAGGGACGACAGTCTCGAATAGATCACCAGCGGTAGCCAACGGCGACGTGATTGATTCAAGCCTCTCACCGAGAAGACTACCGATTCGTAAATAAGGCTTGAGCGCTGAAGGGGCCGGCAACAACTATGTCTGGTTAGCGAACCCTTTGGGCAGACGAACAACTCACTGTAAAAATCATTCATTAATTCAAGCGAACTGCAATCAGTCGGCACGTACAGGTACGGACACAATGAATAAACAGCGATAACTCGTTCCGTTGTTACTGACTCGCACTAAAAAAAATTAAGCATGGTCGACTGCTGAGTGCGATTTAGTCAAGAAGCGAGTGCTCAGTCTAGCGCAGTCCCGACGTAGACAACACGCTAACGTCAGATGCAAAATCGTCCGACACACGGAGAGTGGGGCCAAAAATCGACGGACGAGCCTAGTTTGTAGTTGTGTAAAGCTTTCTCCCCACCGGAATAATAGATACCGTTCCAAATTAAAACTGACAAATAATGCGCGAAAGCTCATGTCCCGATGAACGGATGGTAGGAGCAATAGGCTAGGTGATTTTTCTTCACTAAGCACCGAGGAAATGCCTGTTCAGCCACGGAGTACCATAGAAATATGTTCTGGTCGTAGAAGCACATTAGCCTCGGTTCTCAAAGAAAGTTAAAGTGGAAGACGGGATTTTATTTTTGCTTGCCGTTGCTAGTAGTCCACTACAGGATTGCTCTTTACTGCGTTGACTTCACCACCAATAATGTCCTGGAAAAATTGTCACTTAGTTTAACTCACTCGGATGTTCAGTTTGTCATAGTAGATAGCGCAGCAAACTTGAAATGTGCCGATGATATTGCCTGCCCCGATGACAACGCACAGGCATGGCAAAATGAGCTAAACGGTATGGTAACTGGGACATATCCCGGTATGGCATATGTTTTGAGCCTTCAAGTGCTCTACGATTTAACAGGAGCCTGGATCTGCACTTTTATTAGATTGCGGCACTCGAGAAGTGATCCAACGCTTCGTCTACTTTCCGAGTTACAAACTAACAGCAGAGGCACGGATAAATATATCCTCTAACACGTCACGAAAACAAGACTGACACTTGCTAATCGGGAACATCTCTGACGTAGGTGTCGCATATTCCATCAACGAAAATGACGTGCCTCTGTCTCAAAGTCATGTGCTATGTGGTTAGACGGATGTGAAACTTGGCCGCCCCGAACAGATTAGCACTGTGGTTCTAGCATTGGTATAGTCTCAGAAGAAAGTTTCGTTCGCCACTTCCACACGTTTCGTCATGGATTTTTCCTTGAACAGCCAGTCAACAGATGTGCAAATAAACAGTAAAAATCATGTGAGGGGGAAAAAGAGTTGATCACCACCCAGTGAAATTGGGCAGGTTCAAAAGAATGACAAATGCCCTCTATACTACATAGTGTTGATACGACGTGTACACCCAAATGGGGTAGCCCTTCGGGTTAACAAACCCTCGGATCTGAACTCGAACCACAATTCGTCCGGTAGTTATTCACGGCCGACAAGCTGCGGCAAGGTTGAAACACCGACAGTTGGAGCGGTGAATCAGTCAGTAAACATAGATCCAATCATTTGAAATGCAAACAGGGAACCTAAACACCGGACGTTTTAGTCAACATTCATTACAGCACCAAATTACTCGATTAACTTTCGCTTAGCTCAAAACCACTCGCATTACCGAACACAGGAAACCAGCAACTATTGACCGCTTCATTTGAAAAGACACTACAAAACGGATCAAATAGACGAATGGAGTATAACACCTGATGCGAATGACCGACAGAAGCTGTTGTGCACGAAACAAGGGAAGATTGAACCGAACGTACGGAAGCGATAAACAACCGAATCAAACAGTAGAGTACGGGACCATCGATCGAATTAAGGGTTAAATAGAGAGCTGGATTTATGTCCCCAAGCGATACACAACGACTGTGGTCCTCCTTCGAGATCGGAGAAATTGTTGGAGAACTGGCGCGCGCATAAGTGAAAGAGCATCAACGAAACCCATGTGCTACTGCTGGACCTGTTCTGAAAACGTAATTGACCGCTACATTGCTGTTGTTATTATGATCAAGATGGTCGATTTTTGATCGATTAATCGGTGCTCAAATCGAATTACTACCGCTGCTGATTTCAGTGATAACACAAAGGTTTTAATTCGGCAGGACCAGGAATAGACTACCATACAGAAGTACAGGATTCGAAATAAAGGCTCAAGGAAACCATTCGTTTACGGAAAGATGAAACATGGGGAAACTGAAATTGACGGACGGGAAATCTGATCAATTCTGACAGTTATTATCCAAGTTGAATCTCCAAATTTGGTTCACAAATTTTAGCCGCTGGATGTTGAATTTCGTTTTGCCCTCCCCCCCNTTTTGCCCCCCCCCCCCCCCCATGCATAATACGTCCTTGAGCTTAGAGAATTCACTCTTTTAACCACATCATGATGTGTGGTCAATAACTGAAGAGTGTCACATCTGTCACTTACAGCGGAAGATGTTCAATACATTAAGCCTCCTCATTAATTATTAGACAACAAAACATCTGACAACTCAACCGTTCTTGAATAACATAACGTGTGGAACGGAGCCGACTTACTTCAAGCCGATAACGCACAAGTAATTCAATGAGAAGACTCTGATTCTGCACGAGTTTTTCTTGTAGTTCTGGTCTGGAAAATTAGGAATAGAAAACAGCAGGAGATAATCAATATGCTGTAACTTAGAGTGAATAGATAATGTCGGATCAATATGTCACTTGAAAACCCCTACTAGAAAGACGGAGTAAGTTTGACCTCAATTGATGATGTTATCGACAGGGCGTACTCAGTCTACCCAGAAAAAAACCGATTACGGATTAGAAACGATGGTTAACCAAAAAACTCAACTACTTGAACTGTCCGGGTAGGACTCACAGCGGCTGGGTTCATCTACAATCCTCTATTTCTTCTTCTATCTTCCTTGATCTGAGAACGGTCGAGTATATGTTGCTGCAGTTCGGTCAGTGCGTGGTCCTCCACTGGAACAAGTGATCGACCACCATAAATTACGTTGTTTGGGACGTGTTATGCATGTCACCAAATAGGTAGCCACGGCGCGCGATATTTGCCGAGGCAGGTAGTGGGGGATACAAGGGCGGTCAAACTAAAACTTGACACGAGGGTATGAAGACGCTGACCCGTAGAACCGGTTATGTTCGGCTCTCTAGATGGGGACCTCAGGATCAGCGTAAACGAAGGTTGAAGAGATACGAAAAGATATGGTTGAGCGTCCAAAACGGTTAGACCCTTGCGGGTTGTCTTTGCAACCTTAGTCCACCAGAATTCTCTATGTTGTCTTCGACACTGTTCTCAATAGTCTAATTTGCTCTCTACTCTTTTATCCAAAAGATAACCAAAACTATCGCGTGAAAATTTATGGTTTACGGTTGTAAAAACGAAACTGAAACTGAACCGTCCTTGATGAACTCGCCTGAACTTGATTCAATACTATCTGAAAGGACATCACAAGCTGGATGAGCTAAGTAATGTTTTACACCAGGCTTTCGAACGTTTGCACACTTCAAGCTCAAACCGGAATGTCATCAATCCATGCCTATAAAAGGCTGCTGACAACTTACGAAAAACGTTCACGTTAAATTTAAAGTACCATCAAAATACTATTATGAGAAAACAAGCAGACAAAGCGATTGCAGACAACTCACGAAATACTCTCACGAAAAGGACACTCACGTGGTATAAAACCCGTTCAACTGAAGACATACGCAAACCAACGTGGCATAATAACGGTCCATATTCTTGGATCCCATTTGCATGAGACCCTGTAAAGGAGAGTTAGGCCGAAAAAACACTGAGACACTTCATACTTTGTTTAATACAAAGCAATGAATCCAACGAAGAGAAAAGAAAATAGTACGAAACCCCACACAATTGCGAATGGTTCATTTTAATAGCACACAGTGAAAATTAGTTCTGACTGACTGATTGTATCCTAAAAGAAAAAACCACAATTTTTTTTCAATGTTCTTTGTGTGCAAATAAATATATCTATAAGCAATAGGATTAGGAAATCTGTTAAGAAAGGATGCTTCAATTTCTGTAAGTTTTATGTGACCATCATTCATCCTGACCAAGCTACATATCGCAGCAAAAGGATAGCGGTATCAACATGGCGTCAATGGCACATCCGTTACGAGAGTCTTATATATAAATTTGTAGTTGAACCGTTTTTACATTTCTTTCTTGATGCATTGTGGCACACTTGTCGATTCTACGTAAATGGTTAAGTGTTGAATATATATATATATATATATATATATATATATATATATATATATATAAACTGGGCCCTGCGGTGGTGAGTGTGCACAGACTTCTGGTTTGGTCATTGTTGCCTTCTCATCATAACTCCGGTCTGGTCGACTCCATTTGTTGGGTAGCTGAAATTCAACATTCCTTCAGGTGCATTGTTAAAAAAATGAAATGTCTTTTTACTTCCTTTTTCTATTTATTGAGTATACAAATGTACAGTCAACTTTCAAGAAGGGGGCTGCGACCATACCAAGGGTGCCTGGGGGAGATACAGATATAGGGAAGACGGGTGGCGGTGAAGCGGTTTGAACCCGGGACACCCAGGTAACTAGTTGGTGACCTAACCACTTGGCCACCACCGCCCCGTTCATTGTGCTACTTAGAGTCGGTCAGTCCATGATTTCACTAACAGGTGTGTACAGCGTAATTGCAGGACACTAGTAGTTTGGATCTACTCGTGTATGAAGGCACTAGGGATATTGATTGTACTGTGAGTAATGACATGCTTATTTTTCCTTTTTTCTTTTTCTGAAACGTTCCTCACATTTATTGAATCTTTGATTTTGATTATCTAATCCTTTCTGTTATTATGGTAATTAGTATATAGATGACTGGGGGAAACATCTGTTTCCTGATTTCATAGGGCAAACTAAATATACTGGTCTGCGCGGTCGAGGTCAACGTTTTATTTTAAGTTGTATTCTTACGTAGGCCTTATTACGTATTATTATATTGTTTTTGAATTGGAGGTTTCAGAACGGTTTTGTGTTCCGAATCTGGGCAAAGTATAGTATAAAGGAGCTTTTATGCACAAGATGGAGTAGGTCGGGAGTTGGAGTGATTGGAGTGTGACTTACACTCGGATTGGTCGGTGTGTAATGCATGCCATTAGACAAAATTTTGTCTGTAAACTTCTAGCACAAATATCTTTCATTGGAGCAGATAAGACACTTGAAGAAACACGGCTGAGACCACGCCTTGGCAATATGAAATCAGCAGATCAGGGAAATCACAGGAGAGCGGTAAAGGGGTTCAAGGAGAACAGCCAAAAGTCCTTATCACAGACTGATCAGTGTAAAAGCGATACCATCTTCTCATTGGAAGGGAAAGTACTTTCAACTCACCAGCGACTGTTTGGGAGTGCATAAACCAACAAAAATGGCTTTCAAGTTCTGACGCCATGATTAGATTTCGTAGATTTTCCTCAAGTTTACACTTCTTCAGGTAGATACAGAGAACAGTTTAAGGTAAAGACATTCAGTGCATTTATCAGGATTACGACTATGACTGGTGTAAATAACAAGGTGAGGTACAGTGATATTGTGAGGTTCACGCTTAAAGTGATTAAAAGTAGGGATAGAAATGGCAATGCCATCCGAAAGGAAATGAATAGTCCATAATGGTTGTAAAAGGAAAGGGTTATAAGCTTGCACCTTGTAGTACACACGAATCGGTGAATAAGGAAATTGAATGCATATTTCTCCATTTTACATGCTGATATCGGTAACAGAAGCAATTGCTGTACTATTAAAGAGGGGACTAGAACCAGGATTGCTTATTAATAAACAGTAGGGAACATGGCTGATTATTAATCCAGCAAACCTCAATGCACATATTGGGATTTGCTTGTCAGAGGTATTTAAGTTAGTTTCTCTTACCCTATAGTTGTGTCATGGTCCAGATGTGAAATTTCTTATACCCATATAGTCCCAGGCGTAGAAATATGTAATGAGCTTGTTCTACTGTTGATATAGTTTCGTTGCTGTTTGGTTATGAGGTATACCAACGTTTCATCAGTTCTCACCTTAAAACGTCAACACTTGGCTCACGAATGACACGGACCGGTTCCATGTGCGAACATCATAACAGCAACAGATTAACTCTAGCGTTCCGTTTTTGTATTGTTGCACTTTTGTATGATTCATTTCATTGGATGTCCTGCGAGGTGAAATTCGGATAATAATGTCTGCATACAACGCGGATGATTAAGGTTCTGTGGTATTTGATGTACCAAAAGCAAGTACTCAATTTCGATAGTACGAAGCAGAATATACCCTCAATGGTTATGGTATCTCCACATATATATAATATTTCAGTCTCTCTACTATGTTCATTACTATCCTTTTTGGATGTTCGTGCATGCTAAATCACGTTGTAGCCATTGAATTCCGAGCCCGAACGGTGTATTTATTATGATTACACGCACAGGGATAGCAGGTATGGAACAAAGTTAAGTCAAACCAACCGAAAAGTGTTGGGCAAACCGATATTGTTTGCAGCTGTGAGCAGCACCCTGGTGCTACCGATCAAACAGCTCAAATCTCCTTGAAAGATGAACTCAAGGTTCTCTTCATTCAAAGCTTGGCATTCGTTGAGTTCGGATGAAATATGGAAGTCGACCTTTGTATCTCAGTGATAGGACTTTACATTTTTACACATGAAACTCTATGCCTTTTTCAAGATACCAGTGATGAGCAGGTCTCGCAGATGGCGGTAGTTGTCCAGTGATGTATATATATATATATATATATATATATATATCATCGGCTTGGAGATAAGCATGGTGCCAGCGCAACAACAATGATGAAATGTATCAAGGGGTACAGATGGATAAATGGGAAATGGAGAAAACATAAAACAAGGAGTACGAACGAATAAATGAACAATTTTTTCTGTTACTTTCAGCGTGCAAAGTTTTTCAAGTTTGTTTTGGCGAATATGGGAACAAGGTTTAGACAAACAAACCGCACAACAATCGCGCCACTGACTTCTATTCTGAGTAAACAAAGCGCGGAGAGGCAGACGATGGTCAGGCATACGCAAAGCGTGACCAAGCCATCAGAGCCGGTGTGGAGTGATTACTTCTGTTCGAGAACGAATATCCGTACCCAGCACACGACAACGAATTTCTTCATTGCCCGTACGATGTTCCCACCAGATTGGAGCAACGCTTCCAAGGCATTGGTGGTCAAATACAGAAAGTCGATTAGCATCCTCAAATCGGAGATGCCAGGTCTCAATCATAGAGCAGAACACTACGAACCGCGGCGATGTAGGCCCTTCCAATAAGAAAGAGTTGGATGTCACCGCACCGCCACAGGTATCGCGGATCGGCAGATATGGATTGTAGCTGGTTAGCATAGAACAAATAGGTATTCCATTAGTATAGTGCACCGGCTATCGCTGAGGCTTAAAGCAACTCGGAAAAGGGGCTATAATTTTCGTTTGGTAGAGCTCTGCTTATTGAGTGTCCCCTTGAGTATCCCCTTGGAGGTTTCAAAATGGACACCCGAGGGGGACACTCAGGGGTATTCCTTTGGTACGCCCAAGGGGACACTTGTGGTACTTGGGCAACCGGAGCCTTCGGCTAGCGAAAACCTGACCCGCAAGGCAACGGGGCGGTGTGTGAAAACCGCAGTCCATTGGGAGCCGGTGTCCAGTTCACCGGATCATTAGCCCTTCGGACGAGGTCAGACGTCTAAGGTGCCCAATTCACCTCAGTGCCCAATCGAGCCGGTGACCACTGCCACAATCGAAAAGATGTGTGTGTGGTTCGTACGCCTCCTCTTGGTTGGTTTGGAATCAGGGTTTTTAGCGAACTCCCCTAGGTGAACTACCAGTGGTCCACCAACCCGGTTATAGCCCCGGATATCGGCTTTTCGTCCTCTCACTTTGGTGGGAAACACCTCTGCCACGAGAAGGTAGTGAGTAGGGCTTCCTCAGCGGAGGCTTTTTGAGACGCTTGGTAGTATGGGAGCATTTCGTGCGGTGCAGGGGAATTGTGACCAACCGCAACCCTAAACACCCACCCCCGACCATACTGAGGCTTTCGGAAGCTAAACTTCATGAACTGACTGCTTATGATTTATCTAAAAGTCTTCCACATGTACCTATCTACTCCCCAAATCTTGAATAGGGGAACAGCCTTCAATTCATTTAACTCGGTTTGCCTCGGTCAGCTATGTTACATATGACTTATTGGAACTGGACAGTTCTGCTCTGCTAAGAGTCAGATTCTGCCTAGGTCTAGTAAACAACCACAGAAAAGCCACCGAAAACGGGTGCTCACAATACTATGTCAGCAGTGGTTGCATACCGGACTTCAAAGTGGAATTATCTGATTACCTTACCTTACCTTACCAACGCGCACCTTTGGGGCGAAATTTCGCGCAAATGTCGGGTTGCAACAGGCAATTAACTGAAAGACTCAGTAAACACCGCGGTGTTTACTGTTTAGGGTCCGCGGACCGTAATCAGGGAAGCGGTTGAAAGGTTAATCGAAATAACGATGATTTCTGGCGCACGATCAAAGCCCTGCTGGATGTTCGCAAAGGCATCAATGTCAGATACGACAAAGCGTGCAAATCCTTTCAATGTCAGCTCATCAAAAGTGTGAGGAATAACCGCGAGAAGTAGTGCAGAGGGAAGTGCAGAGAGGTGGATCAGGCTGCGGTTAACACCGGTAGATGCAAAGTTTAACATAACAGGTTTATTCTAAGACGAGGACTGCTCTCTGGGAGTTCGACTCCAGTTTGCTAGGTCGGACAAAGCATCCTGGAGAACAGCTGTTATGATAAAATTGAACAGGACTGGGAATGACAAAGGCAGTCTTGTCGCACTCCAGTGGAGACGGCAAAGGGTGGCGAAAGCTGGTCATAGACCCTATATCGACCTGGGGTATGACAATGTAACTCCTTCATGGTCGACACATACTTCTCAGGTATTCCATTTCTAAACAAGTAGTTCTATAGTGCGGTCCTATCGAAGGAGTTGAAGGACGTGCAGATGTGTAAAGACACATCATCATCGTCATCATCGTACAGCGAAACACAGTGAAGCGAACTTCACCGATCGCAATGCATACAAAGTTAGGGGTAAAATTTAAGGTGGACAGGGATTGGATCTATTTTGAGGGAGGGAGCCGCTATGGTCAACACAGAGTACACAACCGAACTCTGCATACATACTGTTTCAAGCATTCTGACCTGATAAGAAACGATAAGAACGCCATTGCTGCCGGTTCGCTGCCATGTCCTTCAATGTCTCCAACCGACCAGTTGTGGAGTCTTTCGGACCCCAATCTGGAAGGCGAGAGACACCTACTCTACCTAA